CGCCAGCACCAGCAGCAGCAGCAGCAGCAGCAGCAGCAGCAGCAGCAGCAGACCTGGTAAACGCCCTTGCCGCGGTAGCTGAGGTGCTGCTGCTGCTCCAGCGCATGCGCGTCGGGAGCCACCGGAAATGCCCATCTTTCTAAAACATCTTTTCGCATGCAATAATAGCCCCGAGGGTCTCGGGCTGTGAAGAGGTAGTTGGGGCTCTTGGCGGACTGCCCCGCCTGCAAACCCTAAACCCTAAACCCTAAACCCTAAACCCTAAACCCTTGCTTCCATGACTACGCAAACTCTATCCTGTGATGCGTAATCCCTAAACAGTAAAACTCTCTCTCAATCCCTAAAGCCCCTCCCCAAACCCTAAGCGCTAAAGCCCAAACCCTAAACCCTAAACCCTAAACCCTAAACCCTAAACCCTAAAGCCTAAAGCCTAAAGCCTAAACCCCTTGACGCCCCCACCCCTACGCCCCAACCCGGAAACCCCAACCGCCCGCTCCCGCTCCCCAAACTCTAGCCCCCCCAAACCCTAAACCCTAAACCCTAAACCCTAAACCCTTGCCTCGATGACGTGGCAGTAGACGGCGTCGAGCTGCAGCTCCTGGCGCAGCAAATGGGGAATGAGATCTTTTTGCAAGTTTTGGAAATCAAAACTTTTTGCAAAAAGCCGCAACACTGTTGGCTCGCAAATGTACAACTCCGGGAAGCTCAAGTCGTAGCGCACGCGCAGCCCCGCGCCGCTGCAGCGCTGCGCAAAACCACAAATTAGGGTTTAGGGTTTAGGGTTTCCGGGGTCCGCGCCGCGAGAGCCAGCAACTGGCTGAAAACAGTTTCAGCAGCGAGTCATTAATAATAATTGATAATAATAATAATAATAATGACAATAATAATAATAATTAATAAAAATTATGATAATAATGATAAATTGCAATAATAATAATAATGGTAATAATATTAAGCAGCAGCAGCAGGAGCAAGGGCAGCAGCAGCAGCAGCAGCCGCTTGAGCACGAACAGTGACAGCAGCACCAGCAGCACCAGCAGCGACAACAACAGCAACAGCAGCAGCAACAAAAACAGCACCAGCCGCAGCAGCAGCGACAGCAGCAGCAGCACCAGCAACAACAGCAGCACCAATAGCAGCAGCAGCACCAACAACAGCAACAACAGCAGCAGCAGCAACAACAACAACAGCAAGACCAGCACCAGCACCAGCAGCACCATCAGCAGCAGCGGCACCAGCAACAACAGCAGCACCAGCACCATCAGCAGCAGCACCAGCAGCAACAGCACCATCAGCAGCAGCAGCAGCAGCAGCAGCAGACCATGATGAGGTCTTCGTTGACAGTAAAGGCCCTTTTGTTGGAAAGAGAAGCAAGAGCCAAAAGCTGCTGCTTCTCAGAATCCAAAACAGCAGCAGCATCATCTTGGAGTCCCCTTTGTCTGCTGCAGGGAGGAGACACTTTCAACACCCACGTCAGCGCCAGCTCGCCCCGCCTTGCTGCTGCTGCTGCTGCTGTTGCTGCTGCTGCTGCTGGCTTTCTGCTGCTGTGTGCTGCTAAGGCCTCACTCAAATCCCCCACGGCCAAAGTCGCCCCCGACAGCAGCAGAAATGCTGCAGCAAAACATATTAATTAAATTACTTTAATTTGATTTAATTAGTTTAACTAATTTAATTTAATTAATTTAATTTAATTAATTTAATTTAATTGAATTTAATTAATTTAATTTAAATTGAATAATTTAATTTAATTTAATTAATTCTTCTGGTGCTCTTCAGAGCAGCTCGGCCTCTACAGGCAAATTCTGCTTTCTGCTTTTGTAGAATTAACTAACTAATTAAATTATCTATTTATTCATTTTCATTAACTAATTAATTATTTTATTTTATTTTAATTAGTTAATTAATTTAATTACTAAATTAATTGAATAATTAATTAATTAATTAATTAAAATATTTAATTACTTGATCTGAGATCCACGCGGGAGTCGAAGTCTCTGAAGGCGTCTCCGAGTGTCTCTACAGTTGCTGGCAGCAAAATGCAGTGCAGCTTCATGGGGCTCTGTTTGCTGCTGCTGCTGCTGCTGCTGCTGCCGCTGCTGCTGCTGCTGCACAGCTGCT